CATCATCGACCATATTTAGAGCTGAAAAGAAACACCAGAGTGCCTAGATGGTATAAAGAATATATCATTTCGATGTCAGGAGTGATGTTTTACCATACTTGATGTGTTATCGTACTGAATACTCAGTACGTTCCCAAATACTATCCCCAAGTAGCAGTTTGATGTGTTGCCCTACCTGATAATATGATTCAACACTAGCCACTAAGAGCAAGCTTGGTGGACTAGTAGAGACACTAGGGTAGTTTTGTCGGTTATTCCCACCCGAATCACTTAGGAAACTTGTTTTCGTAAGTGTTTGGGAACGTGAGTATTTCAGTACGATAAATTGTCAAGTATGGCAGAAGTAACACTCCAAAGAATATAGTGCAATTGACCATTTGGAGTGTCATCGTTTTGTTGGACTTCATCAACATAATGAGGCGGATGCAGGATTTCGGTAGGGGTGTGCCCGGGCGCAGATCTGTTTTGGAAGGTGCCGGGGGGTGCATTATTTTTTCCCATACAGTTCAGGCAAAAATTATAGAGGAGACTAATTAAGGTCATTTAGGTGAAGTGGGATTAGAAATGCTCGGACACACTGGTACAATTCTATGTATTGTTTTAATCTTGACTTTCGTTCATATTCAATATTAATGAAGGAATAGATTATATAAGCCTAGCAAGCAGGTATACCTATTATTATAAACACTACCGTAATTTTACGATATTCTATACACATGATATGACGTACTGTTTAGGCTGTCTACCCAATTAAATATGGAATAGCCTTATATTTAAAACGATCAAAATCAGATGGAAGTAAAAATAGCTTTCATTAATTGACGGTTCTACAAAAATCCTTAAATGTTACCAACCAATGAATCATGCAAAAGAATACGGAAACACTCACCGCTGTTAACAGGAAGGGATTTTTTTCTCATATAAAAAAAAACTTTTAATTGTAAAATTGTAAGTTAACTGTGTCCGAAGTACTAGTAATTGTTTCCGAGCATTTCACACCCTTCAGAATCAGTAATACTAAGTAATTGGGAGCATACAATCACACACGTCATACTGTAAAGCCTAACTGTAGGCCTAGGCCTACTCAAATACGGTGCCAGATCTAATAGGCCATTAGCCTAATCCGTTTTTTTTATTCTTTCGAAAACCATGCTGTAGGCCTACATAGAATGTGTCTAATTTAGTACTACAATGTTTAAACTGTCTTGACTACCAAGGCTTATTAAGATATTTTGGTCTAGTGACTCCATAGCGTTCATAGCACCCTCTATAATTTCTGCCGCAACTGTGTATGGGGAAAAATTAATGCTGGCAGGCGGCGGGGGTGTGGGGGGGGGACATTTCGTGAGCCCACACCTACCATAATTGGGGCTGAGGTGCAACAATTAGAGGAAAAAGTACCTGTGGAGGGCCGGAAATGACACTTTTATACAGTACAATTCATCATCATCACATCACCATCATAGTCAAGTTAAAGCGCCAACTGATGATATTTTATCAGCGATTTTCGGCAACCACGGCTGAGATCTAATTAATATGTGTGATGTACCATAGAAAATACAACTTAAAAACATTGTGTTTGATGTATGTACCTTTTTCAAAACCATGAGTCCACCACCACCTCAGCCCCACTATGGTTGGGGCTGAGGTGAGACAATTTGGTGAGATAATACCTAGATAGCCGGAAATGACACTTTTATATAATAAAATTCATCATCACACAATTTATGCAGTTTAATTCAACAATTTTCAGGCATCTTCTTCACTCACGAAAAGTGAAGGGGACCAACCCTTTCGCCTAAAAATATGTGGGGTGTGTTCCCCTTTTCCATATGATATGCGTCCATGGGTACGTGAGAGTCCACGCCACTTCAGCCCCAACGTAGTTGCGACTGAGGTGCGAAAATTTCGAGAATATGGACTTCTGGCTGGCCGGAAATTGCACTTTCATACCTTAAAATTCTTACCAATAATTCATATCAACAATGTAATAAAATAATTATTTTTCCTAATATAATTTAGGGGGTGCGATCACACCGTCTGCACCCCGCCCCATGCTTCCGCCCCAGACACATGGACGGGGATTTGCGGGGTGATCCATAAATTGATATTTTGTTATATGAACTGATGATAATGGATTAGATTAATAAATAGTGGCGTGAAGAATAACTTTAAAAACCTTACCCGTTTTTGTTGCCGCCGTTGCTCCAGTTCCATGAATGACTCGGGTTATCACTTCACCCCCAATGGTAACTACCTTGACAATGGTTTCTATCCTCCCTGCAATCAACTTCGTTTCTTGTTTGTTAAAAAAGTACAACTCTCAATTATTTTTCACTCCAACTTTTTGCAACAACACAGAAAATGAGATTACACTTGCTGTAATTATTCTACTCTTATAAGTTATAGGCCCATGTCAGTATCTTTATTGTGCCAAATAAAACAAACAATAAATTGGCAGCAGCTTTATTTTGATGTACAATATGCCTACATAGTAGGCCTATCTAGAAGCAAAGCAAGTAAACATTTATGAAAGAATTTGCAAAATTAAACAACTATGAACATCGTCAAACAACAGTCAAATTACACCATCAAAAAAAACCCATAAGACTTAAATCAACATCAAGACAATTGCATATAAACTTAAACCAAATGGCAGTGAAAACAAACATAAAAACATTTAGGATAAATTACAGGAAAAATTACAAATATATACACAACTCTTACACAACACTTTTAAAGAAAAACATATAAAAATTAAGGGAATGTGGCAATTATAACCAGGTAGTTTATGAATTTGTTGAAACAAAACCAACAAAATGTCTAGTTATGTTAGTCTTCTTACCTTTTACAAACGATTTTACAAACCCGAGTTCTTCTTCGACCGAATCACCTATGCCTGTATACAAAATCAATAAATATTGCAATAGGTCGTGGATATTAGGTACTGTGATATTAAAATACAAGTGGTGTGATAGTACTCTTTTATTTCATTCGGAATGCATTAAGTCAAAAGGTATAAATAGTACAGTTATGTACAATCTTACCAATAGTTACCCTCACTCTGGTTTCGTGCAGCTTTCTAAAGCGCACATGTACGTCACCGAGCATTTTAGCTGTCTTTAGATGATTTTCTGTGTGTTTCTTGTATTCGTTCAGTAGCTTCATAAAATCTTCTGTGCTCTTAGCTTGATTAATTAAAATTTGCTCAGATTTTGTTTCGGCTCTGACAGCCAATTTATCTGCAACAATATCTGCTCCAATATTTGTTACTCCTCCGGCTACACCAGCAGCAGATCCAAGTGCTGCAATTGCTTCTGCTGCAGCACTATCGCTAACTATCGCTAATGCCGTTGCCCCTACTGCAGTTGCTGCTCCTACAACAGACACGGAAGAACCAACTACCTTAGCAATATTTGCATACTTCCTGTCATCACTCAACTCATCTGCAATATCTCTCAAACTTTGTATGGCATTTCTTCTTGCTCTTTTCCATTTCTTGTAAAGCTCTTTTAGATCATCTTTATATGTTGCGTCTTTAAACAGGTCTCTTATGTACTCTCCTGCTATCTTCTCTTTCTCACTAAAATCCACTTCTCGGATTATTAAACTCTTGACAATCGGAAAAAACGGAATGCGGTATTGACCTGATTTACCTAAACACATCCTTGAAATAAGAAGAAACTATATGAATTAATAGGAGTGATGTTTTGCCCTACCTGACGTGTTATCGTACTGAATACTCAGTACGTCCCCAAATTCTAGCGAACACAATTCGCAAGTAATTTGGTTGGGAATCGAACCCACGACCTCCAGGTATCTAGCCTGATGTCTTAACTACTAGACCAAGCGCAAGCTCGGTGGTCGTACTGAGTATTCAGCACGATAACCAGGCCCGTAGCCAGAGGGGGTCAGAGGGGTCGGACGACCCCCCGGCTGGGGTCACCCTTTTCCATGCCAAATATTTTTCTCATAGAGCTGCTAGACCTATAGCCTGTGGCCTGTGGATCTATCTCAGACCAAAATGATCTGAATGATGGCTGAAGCAGGGGAATCCCCACTGTGAGTTGATAGTCATGTACTGCATTTACACACAATGTATCAAGCAGCACATGCCATAGAGCATATGTGCCTACGGTACACATTGGGTCGCGAAGGCACCCGTATAAAAAGGTCATCTTTGGCTAAAAAAAGACCCACCTCCTTGGAAGTCTGGCTACGGGCCTGATAACATGTCAGGTAGGGCAAAATATCACTCCTATGATATTTTCCTGAGGCAAACTCGCATCGGAATATATAAATTATCGATGTCAAGATGCATTAAAGCCTAGCACATTATGGTTAAACCTATATAAATACGTTTGGCTTTAAAAGCTAAATGTGGTATGAGAGTGTTTGAGTGTAATTTAAAATGAAAACCAATTCAATTAAATTAATCTAAATATTTAAATTGTGATATATAGTATTGAAGAATTCACGTTTGTTTATACATCAATAATAAATAAGCCGTTATGACTACAGGATTTTTTATATTATTATTGAATTTATTTGAAACACAATAAAGGCTTAATAGTAAAATCCTAATGCCAAATTCTAAATTCAGAATACAGACAAAAATAAAAAAAAAAATTATTGTAAAAAATCTATGCCATAATATCTTACTTTGAACCTGTCGCGATGTCCAAAGCACAGGCAATCAGGGTTACAGCAATTGTAAAACCTCTCGTAGGAATGGTATAAGGATCGTTTATCCAAGCTCTCACTCTTTCCGTTACTTGTTTATTGCCATGTTTTTCAACAAGTTGCAAGATTAACTTTGAGATTTCAGGCTTCCAGAGGTTAATCCCGATTTTAATTTCCTTGACCACTGCAAAACACAAAATTCATTCCATTAAAGTATGCTTACGTAATTTAACTTGATACACTAGACTTATTCTACAGCTGTGGTCTACCCACAAGGATACTGTCTACACCCCTGGTTCTTAATTGAATTATTTGAAGGGCCAAATAATTTTTAGACTTGATGTCACGGGCTATAGAAAATCTTCTTGTATACATGGACCTAAGGTAAAATTCTGAGATGGTGTGGCTGAAGCCCCCTGTTGTGGCCGCACATACCTTTGAGGTTTATTTGGCAATTTCAATTTCTATACTATTTTAATTGTACTACAGCACACTATTAGGACACTTCAATTCATTACAATTTTTGCACCAAAAGATTGATATGATATTTTTCCAAAATAATTGGGACACTTAATTTTCCAACATTTCTTTCTTATTGATGATCTTTCATTTGTTGCTTGTGTAAAACCATCAAAAAACATTTGACCAACGGCAAGGGAGGAGCGATGTCCCGGATCCTGTTAAGGGGTCCAGGGGGAAAAGTCCCCGGAATTTTAACAATTTAGTGTGCTTAAGGTCTACAGGCTCATATTCTGTAAAAGTTACATATGATTATTTTTTCCCTAGGAATGTGTTGAGTTCTCCTTTAACGGGAATCTGCCTCCACAACTGGCACCACCACTTACTTTCAATTAATTGATTAATTTGTTGGGAACTGACGGTTTTAAGTGGCATGATAAGTAGTAATAGTTATAGTGTCATTTGAGGAAATTTCACCCTGTTTTCACAAATAGTATATAGTAATGTAAATTCCTATTCCAATGTAATGTCAATTCCTTTTCTAAAAGGCGATCTTTTTTTCTACACAATTTCCTATAGTAGTGCATTAACGGAAACAGGATTTTCAAAAAGATGGCTCCAAACACGTTGAGGCCTGACCATGGCATGACGAATAATGAAAATCCGATAGATTTGAGGGTACATGACGTATAGTGAAATTAGCCAATGAGATACGTACCCAGACAGTTCCGGGTACATGACGTCTTAGTGAGATTAAACAATGAGCAACGTGTCCATCGAGATAAGGGCTGGTGAGTAATGAAAAATCGTGATATGTACGGGTCCGTGATATCTGAGTGACGTTTGTTTATTCTTTGTTTAAAGTGGGGTGTATGTTTTAATAACAGTTGTAAAATAATATATTTAAAATAATGGTAGTACTGTAATAAAAAATTATAATGATGAAAATTATAATATTCGTAAATAATTAGGACTATAATAATGATAATAATAAAAATGCTTGGATTAACGTATGTTTGTTGATGGTAGTGTAGGCTCTATAAAATAAGGAGATGTAGGAGACTTGATTATCTTTCCATTACAACAAAAATAAACTATTATAAGTTCGTGTTACTCTACGTCAGGTGCGTTTTTATCTGTATTATTTTTTCAAACATGTCCGGAAAAACCGAATCAACTGCTACTACCAACTCTGGGGTTATTCGAGGAAAAAATATAAACATGGAAACTGAAAGAATTGCACGAGAAATCAATTCATCGTTTGTAGCATATAAACTAGGCAATGATATGGAATATAGAGGAGATATGAACTGTAATTTTTTCAAATATTGCGAAAAGATGTATAATGCATGCGATGAACATATTTATAATTTGACAAGAGAAGTATCGCTTGATTCAAATGAGAATATTGAGACGTTTTTAAAAGACGTTTTAACAGAGATGTTTAGTGATAATATCATAAACTGGGGCCGTATAATTATGGTGTTTGTGATTTGAGCGAAATTAGCTGTGTTATGTAAACATAGAAACAGAACTGATTTGATTGATCAAGTAATACAGAGTGTAGACAAATTCGTGAAGACGGAATTTTTGGAATGGATTAATTTGAAAGGAGGATGGGTAAGTAAAATTTGTTCGTGTTAAAAATCGTTGATTAATAAATTCAAACTGCAATTTGCTTCTCTCTCTATATTTTATATGTACTATTTATTTATTTTATTTAGACCAATTTATCTATTTATGTATTTTCAGAAAAAATTCCATCAATCGTATACTGAACACAATAGGATTACAGAGACTCCTCTAATCAACGTTTCGCTGGGGATAGCGTCAAGTTTTGTAGCAACTTTATTTCTATTAAAAAATTTTTGTCAAGGATGATAGCCACCCCTAGCTTTAATTGTTTTGTGTATTATTTGGATAATAGCAACGATTTCTACCGTCACCAAGGAGGTTATGTATTCACCGATGTCACCATCTGGGTGTCTATTCCAGTTTGTTTTTGCTGCGAAGCAGCCAATTCATATTCTTGACAGCAATTTGACCTCTGAAAGGTCATTGTTTGTCAAAAAACGAGTGCCTAAGACGACTGAAAAGCGGAGTTTCCTTATTTCGTTCTGCCGGGTAAAATCAATTACTTTAGGCGACGTTTGTAGACTAGCCTAATCGTACCAACGTCCGCATGTCCCGCAAGCCTTATCCTACTCTAGGCCTAGACTAGCTAGGATGGTATAGGCCTAGCCTTGAAGACGAAGGTCCCAATGAAAAACAACGTCGCTCTTTGATAGCTAACATTGTCTATTTAACATCACAATAATTCGATATTGGACCTATAGTTGTTTTTTGAATTGTACTCCACATAATCTCAGCCGATACCTCGCACAACTGGCTAACGTCTCGTATCCATTGTCGTGACGTCATGGCTCGCTGGCTCACACTTGTGATGTGTCTCGCACTTGTGATCAAATAACAAGCTGGCTCGCACTTTGGCAACACTCTTTGGCAGTCAACTCGCCCCTAGAAAACCCGCCCTTGGAAACTTGCCCCATAAAAAAAATGTACACTTCCTAGACCATGCAGTCTTCAACATAAAAATTGTAACCTTTGGTAATCAACTACATTTTCCCCATATATATATATTTTTAAACTTTATTTTAAAAAACCTAAACCATAATTCACCACACTATAGACACTTTTTGACAAAAATGAAAAATTACGACTTTGTTACCCAATGAGAAGTGTTCTAATATAGACAATGGGTCGTGTTTCATATTATTTGTTATAGTTTTATTATTCATTATTTTCAATTGACTTGCATAAATAATTTTGTTCAAAGAACATTTATATGCAGTTGTACTTCGCAGCACTTCACTTGCAATTTGCAATTTCTAGTTATATCTAGTATCTTTGTTGAGAATTGATAATAAAATACGCGACGACTTGGTAACGAAAGTTTGGCACAAGTTTTTTTAGATCCAGCTGTAGGGGGCGTCCCATTTTTCGTATTCCCACCATTCATTTCGGTGGAACACGGTGGAACACTTTTTTTGTGTGGAGAACTCTATCTTGTATTTCTAGTATCTTTGGTACTCATACATAGCACTTCGCCATCTTGTCAGCACTCTAGTTGTTTAATAGCTCTATGTAATTTTTGCAGAGCTAGCTGTTTATGGCGTTGCTAACGAACAGGTTATGGCCCAAGTCGTCCTAGCGTGACGAACCGAGCGAATCATCTCAGAGGGCGAAATTACTATGCTTTTTGTTCGGAAGTAAAAACAATAAATTTTGGCTT